CAGCTCTGCTCCCTGGAGCAGAGACGCCATGCTCAGCTCTCCCGGGGAGACGACAGCTCTGCTCTCTGGACGCCAGGCTCCGCTCTCCCAAGCAGCTCCCACCCAGGATGGATGTAGGCTAGAATCTTCCCGGTAAGCGGACCTTGGGGTGCTACAAACAATTAGAAATGGGCTAGTTCAGGTGCGAGAGTTAGCCGAGAAGAGGCTAGATATAATGGGCAAGCGGTGTTTAAATGAATACAGTTTGTGTGTTGTTATTTCGGGCATAAGCTAGCAGGCGGCTGGGGTGCTGGGGACGCAGCCCCGCGCTCTTATTTCAACAGTACCAGCCAGGCCGTGGTAATGCACACCTTCAATCCCAGTACTCAGGAGGCAGAGGCAGGCAGATCTGTAAATTCGAGGTCAGCCTGGTATACAAAGAGAGTTCCAGGACAGGCTCCATAGATACACAGAGAAACCCTATCTCAAAAAAAAAACATTAACAACAACAAAAAACAACAATAATTACACATATCCTTCATTTATAGTGTTGACAAAGATAAAGAAAGGCACAGATGGAGAGGAGTGGGGTCTGATCTCACACACTGAGGGAAGAGTAATTTATACAGTCTTTAAAAGAGCTCATTGGTGTAGGAGGTCCTTCTGTCTATCTGTTGCTTTCATTGGTTATTAAAGAAACTGCCATAGCCTGTTGATACGGCAGAACTTAGGTAGACAGGGAAGATGGAACTGAATGCTGGGAGAAAGAAAGACAGAGTCAGGAACATCATGGACCCGACTTTGCCAGAAATAGACATGCTGAAACTTTGCTGATAGGTCACGACCTTGCGGTGATACACAGATTATGAGAAATAGGTTAAATTAATATAAGAGTTAGGCAATAAAAAGTTAGAGCTAATGGGCCAAGCACTGTTTAAATTAATATAGTTTCTGTGTGGTTATTTCAGTTCTGGGTGGCTTGGAGGAACGAGTGGCTCACCTCTCACTCCAACAACTCATATGGCATTTTCATACTCTGAACGTCAAATATTTTTAAGGTAACAAACCATGTTCCATGGGTCCATTTTCTCAGACACAATATATCTCCCCTCCAGGGTGTTCATGTTTGTAACAGAAAAACCAAACAAGCAATAACTGTTTTGTTTACGAGACATGGTCTCACTGTGTTAAAGTAGGTCAGCCTGAAATTCACTATGTAGACCAGCTGGTCTCCTTTTTTTTTGCCCCCATAATGCTGGGATCAAAATCTTGTGCTAGGGGCTGGAGAGATAGCTCAGAGGTTAAGAGCATTGCCTGTTCTTCCAAAGGTCCTGTGTTCAATTCCCAGCAACCACATGGTGGCTCACAACCATCTCTAATGGGGTTTGGTGCCCTCTTCTGGCCTGCAGGCATACACACAGACAGAATATTATATACATAATAAATATTTTTTTAAAAAAAATCTTGTGCTAACACACCTGGCCTAACCAAGTAACTTCTTTCCCCCCATTTTTCAAGATAGGGTTACACTGTGTAGCCCTGGCTGTCCTGGAACTCACTGTGTAGAACAGGCTGGTCTTGAACTGCACCTGCCACTCAAGTGCTGAGATTAAAGATGTGTGCCATCACTGCCTGGCTCAAACTAAGTCCATTTTAATAACCACAGACTACAACCAATGGTGGGTAATCAGCTGGGTCCTTATGTTCAGCAAACTTCAACAGGCAGTAGTAGGAATGAGGCAGCTAGCTGTTTGTGGACAGATCAAGATTTTCAGGACTGTAAAGAAGGAGCAAGATGCAGGGAAGTACATACAATATGATCCCATTTATTTAAAAATAAACATTACATATTTGCTTAGATGCATAAATTTTTTCTGAAAATTACATTAGAAATTATTAATAGAGGTTGCCTCTGAGGAATGGTAGTGGGGTATATCACCATGACAGAGACACCATTATCTTATATTTTGGAGGTTTTTCAACCATGTGTACTTTTTTAAGAGATAAAGTTAAGAAGGAACCCTCTTAATGAAACATGAATTATGCACATTTTAAGATCTGTATATGATTTTCTTCAAGACAAACTGACGTGAGGTACTTAATGTTTTTCCAGGATTCATACCCACTTGACAAGTATTTTTTAAAAAATCATATATTTACTCACTGATGTGGAGACAGGATCTTATTCCGCCTATGCTGGACTTGACTGAGGATAATCTTGAACTTTTGATACTCCTGCCTCTGCCTCGGATAAGTACTCAGACTACAAACATGAGATGCCACACCCAGCTTGCTGCATTTTTAGAAGACTGGATTTTAAATGAATCGGTTGCTAGCAATTTTCAAAAACTCACATTTTTGTTGTTTTTGAGGCAAGGTTTTATCTTGTGGACCTGGCTGGCCTAAACTTGCTATGTAGACCAGGCTGGCCCCTGAATTAGAGTGCCTCTGACTCCTAAGTGCTGGGATTTACAGTGTGAGCCACCAACCACACCTGGCAAAACTCTCTTTAAATAATGTAAATAATATGATCAATACAGAAGACTGGAAAAATTCAAGACTACAAGAAAACTAGGACATATAGTCATCCATTAACAATGTTTTCTCTTTCTTTACATACATGTTAACACAATGTCCTCTACACACAAAACTTACAAGCTGGACTCAGCTCATGCTAGGTCTCCTACCTTCTTTTCACTAACACACAGCAGGCATTCAGTAAACATGGCAAGTGCTGCATTACTATGTACCACTTCTCAGCAGAAATTACATCTACAGAGAGCATTTAGTTGTTTCCAGTTTTTAAGTTAAATTAGTAATAGCTAAACTTTTGCAATGATGATCATTACTACTTAGAAAAGGTTAAAGTATGAAACATTAAAGTTTCTGGGCATGTTTTCAGAAAGGTTCTGCTGCCCCCAGCAGCTCAGCAGCTATTCTACTTCCTGCCAACACTCGCACCTTACAAACCTATTATCCCACAGGAGAAAGCTCTTCCTACAATCACAAATCCAAGTCAGTCTTCCTTGACACGCAGTTGTTCTAAGAACAGAGAAACTGTCACACATACCCACCCCATGATTCAAACATTACAACTTTTAGTGGAAGAAGTTCAATTAGAGAATGTCTTCCAAACTCTTAGTATGAATAACCTAGTGAAGGAAGGTGTATTTTAGTGCTCTACCCTAGTCTACACTAGGTCCTAGAAATGTGACTGTTAAATGTGAAACTTTATAACAAATGTGAGTGTGCAAATTAAGCTGCAGACTGGCCATTCTCGACTGCTTGGCATTGACGAGAACAGGTTACAAAACGAACAAATAAATGCCTCAGTGACCTAGGGCACTTGGGATTTGGTCTCTATAACATTTAGAATCCCTAAATTTTTACACTTTAAAGAAAAGGTAGCCAGTCATTTTGCTGACATCTTCAGGGCAGCACTGGGAGGAAAAAAAGTCAGACAAAAGTGACCTTGATACAGCCCTGTACAACAGAAAGATGCTTACAGCAAAAATAAGATTATTCTCATCTTTAGAAAACTTTTTTATTCAAGGTTTAAGTAAGATCAAAAACTACAAGATTTTGTTTGTTGTTGATGAGTGCGAAGAGAAACGCTAAACACTGGTTATCACCTGGTCAGCTAGCAGAGTGCTCTAGGGTCAGATTACCCAGTGACATACCAATTACTTTGTGTGACTTAAAAATCTTGAAGCAAAAAGTATTCTAAATGAAACATTGGGCTAGAGGGCTGTAAAGTTTGATCAGGAACTGGTAGGTGGCTGGGAGAACAGCTGGTTACCCTATATAAGGACCTAGCATCCAGCTATGTCATGTTTTGACATTTTCAGGTTAAACAACTTTAACTCATAACCTCTAAGCAGAAATAAAGGCTGTATACATGGTCTGAAAACAAGAAGATTCACTTCTCCAGCAAAGGTGTGAGTGGAACCCTAAGGAAAACAGTGAAGACTGCACACACTGTGCCTGCTATACTACATCTGCTGCGTAGAGTTTCCATTCCAAGTGTTGTTTTCATCTTCGCCGTCATCTTGAGTCCTCAGTCTATATATTTTTCCTTCCTTTTTAAAGTCCTCCCCTCGTTTTTCCAGCACTCTTTTTCGGACTGGTTCCCTGATATGAAAAAGAAGGAAAAGAGGGAAGGGGACATAAAACACAAACAATACAAAGTGTTTCTTCACATTTCTGATGATGGCAACTATATTTTATTTTTGACTCAACAATGAAGTCTACGGGCAGTATTTGTATGTCCCTCCTGCAATAATCAATTTTATTAGCCTTTAGTAATTTAATCTCCTCAGTTCTATAAGTCAAACCAGTCAAATCATATTGTCCATTTTCATGATGACTTACTGAACTTCAGAACATGAATTTAGTTAACAAAATTTAAAAACCTCATACAAGCTGACACATATACTAAGATCTACCTTAGAGATCACCCTAGAAGCTACACAAAGCTGCAGCTGTACCTTAACATATAGAAATGGCCAGTCATTTGCAATTCTTTCAAAACCTTTACCAGTAACTTACAGCCAAGAACACATGGGACTTCCTTATTCCAAACAGGAAGGAGTCTTAAGTTTAAAGAACTTTTTGTTTGTTTTTTTGAGACAGGGTTTCTCTTTGTAGGCTGTCCTGTCCTGTAGACCATGCTGGCCTTGAATTCAGAGAGATCTGACTGACTGACTGTGCCTCTCAAGTGTTGGGATTAAGGTGTATGACGCCACCACTACTACCCAGCAAGTTTAAAGAATTTTATTAGCAGTTTTACAGAAAGTGTAAAAACAATGGAACATAAAGGCTTACCCTTTCTCATACACACACACTCAACCCTCTGCCTCAAGTCTACTCACTTGAGAAAGTTTTAACAGTTCACATGGAATCCTATTCCATACTATAGTATACAGAACTAAATATTTCCCTACTCTTCAGGAAGATTAAGGATATTATTGATCTTGTTGCCTGACACTCAAGATAAATGCTCTATCAGCTAATCACAGGATTCATATAAATCACCATCCACAGAATCAGTGAAAGATTGGACTAAGTGCCCAGACAACAGAGCAATGGCTTCCAGGGCTGATAGATTTGCTACAATGTCTATTATAGGTCCAAGAGAAGTGGGAGTGTAGTGGGTAGCAGCTGTAACCCTAGTACTTGGAAAATGGAGGCAGGAGGATCATGAGTTCAAGGTTATAGACAAATAGTTAAAAGGTCAGCCTGAGCTATATGAAACCCTGCATCTCAAAACACCTCACCCCCTGTAAGACAAATGCTAACAGAGTGTGTTTAACAAGAATAAGCATTATCAGATGGGGGTATACCCTCACTGTCTGGATAATACTTTCTATTAACCTATTTAGAATATGCCATCAGAGTATGGGCTAAAGCTATCAGTGTGGTCTGTATAACGAAATCTTTGATCTGTGATGGAAATAATGCCTCTTGGTTAAAGAATCAAGTCTGAAGGCATCATTTTTTTTTTTCAGTTCTTGTTTTTCATCTTCTGTTTGGCTCAGGGTTTCAATGTGTAACCTAGAAAGGACTCAAATTCATGATCCACACCCTCACCTGCCCACCCACCAGGCTCTCAAGTGCCAGAGATTACTGTGCACCCTGATAAGTCTGGCTTAGAAGGACCACATTCAAGGGTGTACTTAGTTTTTTCAGTGTGATTTTCTTCTGAGTGACTCAAATAAGAAAATCAGCCAGAAGATCAAAGAAACCTCAGATTAAAATTCTCTATTTTCAGATTCCTGCAGAGAAACTATGCAAGATCAGTGAGGTACTGGAACAGACTTAGTTGAATTACCAGGAAAGGAAGGACTTACCCTGAGGAGCGAAAGGGGGCTAGGGTGGGAGGAAGGTTGGGGAGTAGGAGGAGAAACTGGGATTGATATGTAAGAGAAAAATAATAAAAATTATAGTTCAAAAAAAGGGAAGAAATTATGCAAGACTATAAGTAAGCAGTGCCATTGTATCAAGCAAAATATGGCTAACAAGAAAGCCAGGTGAGGTGGCACAAACCTTTAATCCTAGCACTTGGGAAATAGAATGGAGAAGGAACAGATCAATCTGATCTACATAACAAGTTCCAGACCAGTCAGAGCAACATAGTGAGACCTCATCTTAAAATCAAATGAATGACAACAGAAAAACATGGCTTGCAAAAAAGGAATTACATACATGGGAGGAAAACCTGTATTAGTAATTAAGAAATAAAGAGAGTTCAGTGAATGGGGGAAAAAGAGGCAACACTGCTTTTCTAGCACCAGGGAGTAAGAGATCTACTGGATATGACCTGGGTATTTTACCACCAGAGAAAACAAGAGCATATACCTTTTCTCTGACTTGCTAGATGACACAGGGTTTGAAGACTCTGTGGATGTGGCTCTTGCTGAAGTCTGTGCAGGAGGAGGATTACTAAATAAAAAGTTGCTAATTAGTCTCCATATGGCCAGGAATGGATAAAGCACCGTCCCCAGTAATGTCCAAATGTCTCTACTGGAAGAGTGGACAATAGATGTGGCTGGTCGTCCTGCCTAGAAAGTAAATAAATAAATAAATAAATAAATAAACAAACAAATAAACAAACAAACAAGTGAAGACTGTGTCAGTACAATTGAATCCCACATGGGTCTTAGATGCTTCTTTTTTTTTTTTAAATATTTATTTATTAAGTATACAATTTCTGTCTGTGTGTATGCCTGCTGGCCAGAAGAGGGCACCAGACCTCATTACAGATGGTTGTGAGCCACCATGTGGTTGCTGGGAATTGAACTCAGGACCTTTGAAAGAGCAGGCAATGCTCTTAACCACTGAGCCATCTCGCCAGCCCCCTTAGATGTTTCTTTTATCTGGAAATGAGACTCTACTGACTGTCTCAATCCAAGAAAGTGAAAATGATCATCTTTACTGATTTCCATGTCCCATGAACTTAGGTGGGCTTCTAGAGTTACCTGTCTTTGTTTCTTTCTATTTTTTTGAGACGGGCCTCACTCTGTAGTTCTGGCTGTCTTAGAATTCACTCTGTAGACCAGACTGGCCTTAAACTCACAAAGATCTGCCTGCCTCTGACTCTGCCACCCAACTACTGGAATGAAAGGCATGTATCACCACAAATGTTTTTACTTCTTAGAAAGCAATTAGTATGCTTGAATTTATGTATGTGCATCACATGTGTGCATGAGCCCACAGAAGTAAGAAAAGGGCATGGGATCTCCTGGAACTGGATATATAGACAGTTGTGAGCCGCCATATGAACGCTAGGAACCTAAGTTGGGTCTTTAGCAAAAGCAGCAAGTGCTCTGAACAGCTGAGCCAGCTCTCCAGCCCCTATGTATGTTTTGAGACAAGGTCTCACAATATAACCCACACTAGCCAGGAACTTAGTATGTGAACCAGGCTGGTCTTCAACTCGAGAGATCCATCTGTTTCTGCCTCCCACATGCTATAAGGGGGTGTGCCACCACACTTGGATAAATCAACTCAAAAAAAAAAAATAGTCTTTTTTTATGTGTATTAATGTTTTGCCTGTATACTATATACTATCTATGTCTACTACATGTGTGCCTGGTGCCCAGTGAATCAGAAAAGACATCTGGGCTGTGCAGTGGTGGCGCTCGTCTTTAATCCCAGCACTCAGGAGGCAGAGTCAGGCAGATCTCTGTTAGTTGGAGGCCAGCCTGGTAGATTGGGTTCCAGGTCAGGATCCAAAGTTACAGAGCTGCTCCGTGTCTGCAAAAACTTAACCTATGTCCTTTAGGAGAGCAGCACCTTCTCTCTTTTGTGTTTTAAAAATTCATATGCACTGGTGTTTTGCCTGCATGAAGGTGTTGGGTACCCTGGAACTGGAGTTACTAGGAGTTGAACCTGGGTCCTCTAGAAGAGCAGTCTGTGCTCTTAACTACTGCGCCATCTCTCAAGTCCCCACAGTACCTTCTCTTAATTGCCAAGGCATTTCTCTAGCTCTGAACCAACTATTTTTAAGAAAAGTAAACTTTGGCAATAAAATTAACAACTTTGATAATAAAAGTCTCACTAATTATAAGAGAAAGGCTTTTTAAAAAACCAAACCAAAGAAAAATAAGTAACTAAAAGATTAAGATTTAAAATCCAGCAAATACCATGAAATTCTGATTGCAGGGCTGTTTCAAGTGTGCTGGCAGCTCTAGTTTAGAGTAGGAAAAATTATACTGACCAGGACGTAAAAGCCCAGGTGACACTTCAGGTAGGACCCTGGCAACATCTTAGCTTTCTGACCCTCTTTTCTGCTTGAAAGATGAAAGTACTAAACTTACTGGGTGTAGTGGCATACATCTTCAGTCCTGACACTCAGAGGAAGAGACAGGAGGACCTCTTTGAGTTCAAGGCCAGCCTAGTCTATACAATGACCTGGATAACACAATATAAGACCCTTTCCAAAAAAAAAAAAAAAAAGCAAAAGCATGCTATACTTAATAATTAAATCTAATTTTTTGTTATACATATATTTTTACTGTGTTAGACTGTCTAGTCATAGGCTAAGAGTTCACAGAGGAAACAACTCAGTATTTGTTCTCTTCTGTAAATTGTTTTGCATACAAAACAGTTGAAAATTCAAAGCCTCAAATGTATGTAAAATGAGAAAAGATTATTTAAAAAAAAAACAAATTTAATAATAATAATAAAAGAAAACTCAAAGCCTCACAAAACATTAGCATTGCAAATTTATAAAACATACAATAAAGGTACTATAAATTGATCCAATTTTGTATTTTAATTGCCCACAGCCTATTTTTTTTTCTCTTCCACCAATTCTAAGCAATGACCAAGAATAGAACAGACAGAAAATCCAAAGAGCAGAACCCAGAACTGTGTGCATACTGGCAGCAGCACCACGGAGGCACTGGGGGCGAGCTCCAGGTCCAGCAGCTTCCTCTTATAGTCTTCTCTGGTGAAATCCCTCCTGGGAAACATGGTTGCTAGCGAAAAATTACCATAAGTGTTGCCAACAGTCTGGAACAGAGAAGTGGATGTAAACCTTTAAAAAGTAAGGTACTAACAATCTGAATAATTTTTGATTCTAAAATGACTGTTAGAAAATGTCTTAATTTAAAAAGTTCAATTAGACACAAATTCAAAAACCTCTTAAGAAAAAATGTTTTAAAAAGTAGTTGGCACATACTAAATCCAAATGCTTTTAAAAAGCTTTTAACATCTACAGTATGACCATTATCTTGCTGTTGGCAATTACAATAAAGCAGTCCCACACTAGCTCAGAATGGAATATAATAATGTGTTCTTTATTTAGGGGTAGACTTACAGATCTACAGTCCTTTGCATGAGCGGGAAGCAAAAACTGAATTGAGCAGCCAAGAGGGCAGGCATCTGTTTTTATAGTACCCAAGGCCATGCCCAAAGTAAGCCAGCATCTCAAAGGCCATTGGCTGAAGGATTTCCCCAGCATCTTGCTTTATTCCAACTGCTGCAGGTAAATGGAGGCTGTGTGGGAAAAAGCTTTCTTCTGTGGACCAGCTAGATGGCTCACGGTTTAAAAGTGCTTGCTGCCATGCCTGACCACTTGAGTTAGGTCCCAGGGAGAGAACTGACTTTTCAAGTTGTCCTATGACCCCCACACATGCCTCCCCCACTTCCCATATAAATTAAATGCTGTAAAAACTCTTTAAAAGATACCTGTCCCACTAAAGCTCCTCTATGCTAGGACTGAATTTTCTTTGTTAAAGAACATGGAAAGATCTATGGATTTTTTTGTTTTCGTTTGTTTTCAGACAGGGTTTCTCTGTAGCTTTTGGAACCTATCCTAGAACTCACTCTGTAGACCATAAGGATTAAAGGCGTATACCACCACCGCCTGGACCCATACTTTGCTTTATTTATTTATTAACAGGGTTTTTCTACATAGCCTTGGCTATGTAGACTAGACTGGACTTGCAATCACAGAAATCTGCCTGCCTCTGCCTCCCAAGCGCTGGGATCAAAGAAATAGACCAGACCGGGCTTGCAATCACAGATATCTGCCTGCCTCTGCCTCCCAAGCGCTGGGATCAAAGAGGCCTGTCACCAAGCCCAGCTAAAAAGTTTTTCTTTTTTTGGGTTGGAGAGATGGCTCAGAGGTTAAGAGCACTGGCAGCTCTTCCAGAGGTCCTGAGTTCAATTCCCAGCAACCACATGTTGCTCACAACCATCTATAGTGAGATCTGGTGGCCTATTCAGTCGTGCAGGCAGAACACTGTATATATAATAAATAAATGAATAAACTTTTTATTTTTTTAAGCTGGGCTTGATAGTAGGGGCAGGAGGATCTGAGTTCAAAGCCAGCTTCATATATGTAAAAAGTTCCAGGCCAGCCTCTTCTGATGATAATAGTGGGACCCCACTGCAGTATAAGTTCCTGAAACTGAGATTATATGTATGGAATGAGTCATTTATATCTCAGCATGAAAAGGAAGTTCTCTTAAAATGTATTAATTTTTATTTTATGTGCACTGACCATCTGTCATAGAAGTCTGATAACTTGAGTTTGACTCTTGGAACCCACTATGAAAGTTGACTAAAACAAACATGTATGCCCACATTCATACATACACCTACACTCAAACATCAGACACACACAACAGTTATAAATAAAAATATGAAAAATGGTATCTATAGAATTCTGAAGAGGGAGGGGGAGGGAAAAGGGAGGCAGCGGTGGGGAAGAGACAGAAATCTTTAATAAATTAAAAAAAAAAGAATTCTGAAATGAGGTTTGCATTAAGGGAAATGGTCATTGTCATTTTTTTTAAAAAAAACGTATGTATTTGGAGACATGATCTCAATCTGTATGCAAAACCACTTCAAATATTTTATAAGAAAAACTAATAGTCCAAATATGTTGGTGAGTCATTAGCCCAAGTTTTCCAAATGCTACTGAAGACCCCAGCTGCTGCTACACTTGACTGCACAGCTGCTACTTTGTTATTTGTTTTGCAATATTATGTGGGAAGTGGGGGAGGCACATGCACACCATAGCACATGTGTGGGGGTCGTAGGACAACTTGAAAAGTCAGTTCTCTCCCTGCAACCTAACTCAAGTGGCCAGGCATGGCAACAAGCACTTTTAATCCATGAGCTGTCCAGCTGGTCCACAGAAAAAAGATTTTTCCCACACAGCCTCCATTTACCTGCAGCAGTCGGAATAAAGCAAGACAGGGGTCATGTGTTAGATGTTAAAAGTTTTCTTAAACCATTTGGATACTAAAACAAGACAGAGGAGTGTTGTGGGGTCCTCAGGAAATCAGAGCAATGAACAACCACCTAAGTTGGATTCTGCTGCGCTGAGGCATCGTGTCCTCTTGTGACTCAACATGGTGGAAAGACTATTTGAGTAGTCTGTGAAAAGGTCTGAACCCAATATCCCAACATATTTTTAGTCATTAAAATTATGTTTTAATAATAGAGCTAAATTTTCTTTATGACTATACGAATATATTGTAAAATATCCATCCATGGGGTTCCTGTATTTCTTCTCATTGATTAAAATTCTCAATTATTTTACATCCCGATAGCAGCTTCATACCCCCTCTCCCACCTCCTCTTGTTTCCCTCTACCAATCCACGCAATCCACATCTGTTCAGAAGGGGGCAGGACTCCCACGGGTGCCAACAAAAGCATGGCCTATCAGTAAGATATTCCTTGAGAAAATCAAACTTAAACAATACCTATCCACAAACACAGCCCTAAAGAAGGAACTAGAAAAGAAGCTTCAACCAAGGAAGTTAGCTGCATCCATGAAAACACAGCCAACTTTCTAATCTTAACCTTGACGTTATGAGAACCGTACTGTACATACAAAGCTTAGATCCTGAAGGATGATTTGTAACCAGGATCCATTTACTTAGGACTAAGGGAATAAAAGTACTAGAAACTGCTCCTACCTAACTTGTAATGTCATCAAATTTCATGTGCCACTTAGATTTTGAGTAAGCCCACACTTTTAAAGTAAATTCCTGATCTTTCGATTGGTAAACAGAAAAACGGCTAAACACTAATCACCCATGAGAAATCAAATAGAACCCACTTCCTTTCAGCGACTAGACCACTGGCTTTTCACTGCTCTTGTTAATTAAGCATGCTAAAGGAACGTTCCTAAGTCTGCCGCACACTGTCATCACGTATAATACTCCAGCCACCTCAGTCTATTTCCTGCCATTCTTCTGCTTTGGAACCTCTCCTGCAAGATTTTAATAACCTACACATCTGTCTTTATGAACTCACCTGTGCAGCAAACTGCCTTGCTTCTTCTAACGGAGCATCAGAAGGAAACTGACTCGTGAAGGAAGAGCCGTCAGGCAGCCGGAACTGAATTCTTGCAATGGTGCTATGAAAAAAGAAAACAGTCAAGCTACAGTCAGTGTCATTCATCACCAGACAAAGGCTAACTGAGAAAGGCCAGGACACTTGCTCCCCAGGACCTTGCTCCCATGGTGAAAGGAGAGAACCCTAAGCTGTCATCTGACCTCCATGCATGCACCATGGCATGCTGCTCCCATACCCATAAATAGTTCGTTCTTTCCTTCCTTCCTTCCTTCATTTCTTTTTGATCTTTCTTTCTCCTTAAATGCAGTTCAAAGTAGAAATGATGTTTTGAGGCAGGCAAGATGGCTCAGCAGGAAAAATACTTGCCATGCACGCCTGTCAACCTGCAATCCTATCACAGGAGGATCCCAGGTTAGAGGCAAGCCCGGGCTATGTGTCCAGTGAAACCTGGTCTCAAAAACAAAACAAGGGCCTAGTGAGATAACTTAATTCAATCCCTGAGACCCTTCTATCATGGAGGAAGGAGAGAACTAATTCCTGAAAGTTACTGTTTACATTCACATGGACTCCAAGGAACCCACACAACACCCATCCCAGGGCCAAAATAAATGTTAAAAAAAATTTAAACAATAAAAAAAAATAAACAAAGCCATGTAGCTATCACAGGAACAGTAGAATATTTTATGACTTCCCAAAATAACCCTGAGCATATTAGTAATCACTTTATTTCCTTTCCCAGGCCCTAGCAACCATTAACTGGTTCACGTAGTCAGAACCTTTCATCTTAAAAAAAAA